GTCTGCTCACGCGGCCTATCATAGCGGGGTGACTGTAACACAGGGACCCCCCGCAGGTAAGAGCAGCGTCAGCGTCAGCAAGCAACGGTCAGCGGCAGCCCCACCACCCCCACCTCCGCCTCACACACTCACTGGCCCCTTGCGCGATGGCACGCCGGCATGTTGGCATGGGAACGCCAAGCCCGGCACGGTAGCGGCGGCTGACTGAGTAATGGCACAGCCGACCGCCGCGGCAGGCCACTTTGCACTCCTGCCTGCAATGCATGCACCCTTACATGTGCAGCCTTCTGGTATTTTCATGTGCCTGGGAGATGTGCGGGCATGGGGGCCCATGTGCCCCATGCCATTTGAGTGCCCGGCGGCGGCGCTGCCTGCCGCCGGGAGCCCGCACCAGCATCGGCACCCGTCGGCCTGGCAGGCCTAAGCTGCTAAGGATCCCCACGTCCCCCACCACGTTGTGGGGGTTGCGTGTCCGGCAGGACGGGGAGCGGGGCCAGGGTGGGGTGACCCTGGGACGCTCAGCTGGGGGGAGGGTGGTCGGAGCCATGGAGAGGGTGCTCCATGGTCCACCCCCTCTCTTGATGCCCCTTGATCACGTGTGCCCCCTGCCCAAGGTCTGCTCACGCGGCCTATCATAGCGGGGTGACTGTAACACAGGGTTGCATGTTATGCATGCATAGTGTGTGTATGTTGAGAGGCATGTGGTGTGGTGGCTGAGTGTGGCCGGGTGTGCAGGGTTGAGGGTGCCATGCGTTGCATGCGGCCTCCCTTGGGCTGCTGGCCTGCCTGGCTGCCCACCAACCCTGCCTGACTGCCCACCAACCCTGCCTGGCTGCCCACCAACCCTGCCTGCCTGCCGCGCCACCTGCCTGCCACCTACACCCTGCAGACCTGGGACGACGCCTCCCGCGCCGCGTGGGACAGCTGGATGAATGCCCGCGCCTACGCCGGCGGCAGCTGGAAGGACGCTCAGAAGGCGGCGGAGCAGTACTGGCGGGACACCAAGGGTAGGTGGGGTGTACTGTATGTGTGGGATCATGCGGGACCCCAGTGAAGGCCTCATCCACGGCTCTGCCTTGCCTCCACACACCATCAGCATCAAACCCATCACCCGACACACCACAGGCATCACACCCATCACTCGACGGCACCCAACGCACCTCCACCACCCCTGCAGGCAAGTCCAAGGAGGGCTACGACGACTTCATGTCGGGCGTGTGGCGCAACTACGCCGCCGCCCGCGACTCCGCCGGGTGGAGCTGGGAGGATGCGCAGCGGGCTGCCCGGGAGTCCTGGGACGCCACCAAGTCCAAGACCAAGCAGACCTGGGACCAGGTGCGGGCTACAGGGGGGGCTGGCTGGCTGGCTGGCGGGGTTGGGGAGTCGCGGGTTGGAGCGGATGTCGGGCAGGGGCAGCTGCCAGGGAGCCCTGGAAATGCAGCCAACAACAACACTGGTGCCCTGCCATCCGGTTGACCATCGTTGCGCCCGCTGACGTGGCGCAGGCCACCGACACGGCATGGACCAACTGGCTGCGTGGGCGCGCCGCCTCGGGAGCCAGCTGGGATGAGCTGCAGGTGGGTGATGCTGTGGGCCCCGCTGCACCAACTTCAAGTCCCGCACTCGTCCTGCTACATGCATGTGGGGGGAGTGGTGGGCACTGCAGGCGCCAGCCGGGCATGAGGCAAGAGCTAGGAGGGCAGCTAGGCATCCCGCGCCTGTGGCCTGCCTCCGATTGGGGCTGTTGAGGCACTCCTCTGCGCTGCTGCCAATTCCGTGGCAGCAGACCGGAGGTGGGCAGCGCAACCTCCTCGGGGTGGTGCGCAGCTGCTGCAGCTGCCAAGCTGAGCCGCTCGAACGCTGGTGCTGGCGAGCTGCAGCGTATCAAGGCCAAAGTGTCACCTTGTGCTCGCTCACTTGGAGCTAAGCACTTTGGCAAGGGCGGCAGGCAGGCTCTGGAGGTGCTTGGGGTGGATGGGACAGCCGCAGCCCTGCTGTTAGGGGGGATGCGCTGCATCACTGCCTCGAGGTAGCCTGCCCCGGTTACGCCTGTCCGATGAGTCGTGGCAGCGGTTTTCAACGAGCTAACATTACGGCTCACGCCCTTCAAGTCTTGCCAAAAGCCTGTCCACCAGCATGAGCCATGGTGTCGTGATGCCGCTGGACCGGCTTTTGGCAAGAGTTGAAGGACGTGAGCCGGGATGTTAGCTCTTTAATTCTCGGTGGCCTCTCCTTTGCTTGTGTGGGCTTACAGTCTGGTTTCAGCAAGAACAAGCTTGCAGCACAGACTTTGTTGTTTGCTCAGCTCTCCTGCCATTCGTTTGTCATTACGTTCTACCATGGGCCCTGTTTCTTGCAATTGGCGCAACTTGCCCCACGTTTGCTGCTTGCCCCACGTTGCCCTCATAAACGATCGAGTGGCCTCGTAAACAAGTCCCGCTTCAGGTCCTGCTTCAGGCCGCTCGAGTCCTGCTTCCGCCTTCGCCTAGCCGTTTAGTGACCTCGTCCAGCAGTACCTGCTCTGCCAGCCGCCAATCACAGGGCCTGCCGCCACTGGCTGAGCTGCTGCTGTTGCGGCTGCCCGTTCCCCCCCCTGCTTTCCTCCCCTGGACCCCTTGCAGGGCACCCTGAAGGAGCGGTACGAGGCCACCAAGGGCACTACCAAGCAGTCGTATGACGAATGGGTGAAGCAGGTGGGCAGGTTTGGGGGGGGCTTGCAAGGAGGGTGGGCTGGGTGTAGCGCGCAGATCTGGCCATGGCACCAGGGTAGAGGCTTGCGCCATTGGAACGTGTAATTTGCCACCCTCTGCCAGCCTGCTGCACCAATACAGCCCACACAGGCCCTCACCTGCTCCTCAAACGCAGCCCTGTCCGCTGCCCCTGCTCCTGCTGCTGCCGCAGGCTCGTGCCGCATATGACGAGGCCGCCTCTGGCGGCGGCTGGTGGGACTCCTTCTCCGACCGGGTGGCCTGCGGGTGGGACGCCGCCAAGTGCCGCGTGAAGGAGAGCCTGGGCATGTCAGCGGTGAGCTGGCGGGGCGCAGGCGCAGCGTGCACAGCAGGGGCCGCCCCGCAGCGTTCAGCCCAGGGAGCAACAGGAGAGGGTGCCCACATGGAGGCTGCGCCGTGGCACCGCCTTTCAGCAGCAGTGTGCTCGTGTCTCGGGCGCACGAGTCTTGGCGTCCTGCCATCACGCCCCATGCAGCACGCGGGCAAGACGCCAGAGGAGGTCCGCGGAGAGGCCCACGCCAAGGTGGGTGCTGCGCCGGGGAGCACGGGACGGGCCTGCCGGGCCCACAGGCGTGTTCCCAGCACACAAAGGTGCATGAACCCAGCAAATGCTGAAAGTGAACAGTGTTGTATACCTGTTGTTGCCGTGCAGGTGGATGAGCTCTATGATGCCGCCACCCACGCGGAGAAGGCGGAGCTGTGAAGCTTGGAAGCTGGGCGGTACCATGCGCGCTTGTCGGGGCTGCGGGCAGCTGATGGGCTTGGGCGCTGCCATGCTGGCGCCACTGGTCAGGGCAGAGCCTGCTGTGACGCCGCACGGGCGGAGCGGCTTGGATGAGGGCGGCCACCTTGTGCAGCCAGCGCAGCAGGCAGCAGTTGGTTGATGGGAACAATGCAAGCAGCAAAAACTTCAGAGTAGCGAGCAGTTTTGATGTGCATGTGTGTGCAAGTGACCAGCGTTGCAAATGAAAGGAATCTTCCGAGTGCCCGCAGAGGTGTTTTCATGAGCGTGTAAAGCCTCTTCGCCTCAACCCGACTCCCCAAAGCGACTCCCCAACGGACTGCTGAAGCCAGTTGTGCCTGCCAGCGCCCCACCCGCTGCCTGGAAAAGGCTCCCTAACGTCCAACAGACAAGGGAAGCTCAATTACAGACGCGGCAAGCAGCGCATCCATCCAGCCGTCCACACACCACACTCCACCTCATCCCTGGCGTTGGCTGGCCGCCGCGCTGTGTGCCCTCAGCCTGCCGCTCCTCTACTCGTCGCTGGCGGCAGCCTTGCTGGTGCGGATGCCCTTTGTGAGCGCAGAGGCGCGAGCCTGGGCAGCACGCTGCACCAGCAGGGGGGCACAGGAGGCGGCAGCAATCAACGAGCGTGCCCCACGGCAGCAACCTCTCATCATCCCAGCATCCCACTGAGCACAGCGCCAGCAGCATGCATGCGGCCGGCAGGGCCCGGCGGCCAGGCATGCCGGCACGGCCGCCACATCGGGCCCCCCGCCCCCCGTACCTTGAGGTCGGGGCGGGTGCTGGCCGCCTCGGCGCCGGCCGCGTGGTTGCTCCTCCGCCCGTTCTTGTTCACGATGCTCCCCGCCAGCTTGCCCGCCTTGGACTTCTTGCTGCTCTTGGCCACCACGATGGCGTCGCCCGAGGGGGCGAGCGCCACGTCGACCGTGGAGGCGCGGTTGGCCAGCCCGCTGTACTTGTAGCTGTGCTTGTTGGCCAGGTTGCCGGGCTCGCCGGAGAACAGCGCGCCGTTCACCGCCGCATTCTTGCGCAGGAAGGCGTGGTTCTTCTTGACCAGCTCCCACACCAGCTGGCTCGACATGGTGGCGGGCCTGCAGCGGCGGCGGCGGCGGCGGCGGCGACAAGGGCCTTCAGATTCGCGGCAATGGGGCAAGGTGGGAAGAAGAGAGGTGCAGGCCAGCAGCAAGGCAGCACTTCAATGCAGACGAGCGGCGGCGGCAGGGCAGTGGCGGGGCCGCAGGTAGCCTGGGCCCGCCGGGTGGCGCGTCAGCTGTCCCAAATCACGGCAGCATTCGCTGGGTTGGTCAAGGCACCGCCCAGCGCCTGCCGCAAGCCCCCACAAGCGCCAAAGAGGCTGAGCGAGCGACATGCAGCCGCCTGCCCCCGAATTGCAGCGACGCGGCATGCTGAACCCCGATGCCATCGCCGACAGCCGAGCGGAGGCAGCTGAGGACAAAGGCCATCATGCGATTTCTGCACGCGGGCAGCTCGCATGCGCACCTTGATATGCTCCACACAAGCTACAGACTGGGCGACGTTAGAGGCGGGGGCTGGCGCGAGCTACCGCTTTGGCCAGACCCCTGCCCTGACCCAGGAGACCGCCACGCGGGCCGCCGCCACCAGGCGCCTTGCCATCAAATTGAACCTGGCGGTCCATCCTGGATTCCAGAGCTCCTGCTGGCCCCATGCATGCAATAATGCAGCTCTGCAATGTTGTGCTGCCCTCCCCCACGAAACCAGCGCCCTCCTGCCTCTGCAGCGCCCTCCTGCCGCTGCCACCAGCTGCAGGCAATAGTCGCCGGCTGGGCAGGCGTGCTTCACAGGGGTAATTGCAGTGGTGTAACCGGGCAAAAACGCAGCACAGGAATCAGTGAAAAACGACAACAAAGCAGCACGTCTGTGTTTTTGTTCATACTTTTCGGGGGGAGGGTGCGCGCCGACTGCCGCGCCAATGCGATGCGGCGGGCGCGCCCCGACATGTTTCCGCAGGCTCCTCCGAGCCCTCCCACATTGTCCGCGGGCAGGCGCTGGCGCCAGCATGCTGCGTGCGCCGCCCTGCCTGCCCATGCCGCACCTTCGGCTGTCCTGTGTGCGGTGTGGTCTGGCAGGCGTGCCGCGGTGCGCACACACCAGCTGCCGCCACCCACCAGCTCGCCAGCTCGCTGGCCGGTCACGGGCGGGAGGGCGCGCTGTGGGCTGGTGCGGCAACCCGCGCGGCTGCCTGCTCAGGCGGCGTCAGGCTCAGGCCTGGCCCAGGGCCGGGAAGGCACTCTCGAGGTCCAGCGGGGCGGCGGCGCCGGCGCCGCGGCCCTCGCCGCGCCCCTCGCCGCGCCCGCCGCGGCCCGAGAAGCCGCGGCCGCCGCCGCGGCCCTCGCGCCGCTCGCCGCGGTACTCGCCCCGGCCCTCGCCGCGGCCGCCGCGGCCGCGGCCCTCGCCACGCCCGCCGCGGGTGTCGGTGTCAGACGCGATGCGGAAGGCCACATCCAGCACCTCCTTCTCCTTGCGCTCCTTCTCGCGGCCCGCCTTGTTGGCGCCAATGACCTGCGCGGGTCAGGGGGAGCGGGGCGGGGTTGGGCACAAGGACAGGGAGCACAGACGCATGCGCGTACAGCTGCGCCGCGGGCGGCTGCGCGGCTGCCCACCACGGCGGCGCCAGGCCCGTCCCCTGCAGCTCATCCGCCCCGCAGGGCTTGCCAGCCCCAGCCTCCGCGCCTACCCCGCCAGGCAGCCAGCCGGCCGGCCCGCAGCGCACCTTGACGTTCTTGAGGGACAGGCCGACATCCTCAACCACCTTTTCAAAGGTCTTCATGCCGGAGAACTGCTTCTCGTCGGCCTTGAAGGCGGCCTCGCGCTGCTGGTTGAGCCCCGCGCGCTTCTCCGCCAGCACCACCTCGTACTCCTCCAGGGTCATTTGCTGCAGGGGGAGAGGGCAGGAGGGGGCGGGAGGTGAGGTGAGGGGCGAAGAGGGGCGGCGTGGATGGCAACTAGAGGGCGGCACAGCGCCAGCGCCGCAACACCGAGCTGCTCCTTGTGTTGGGCTGCACGCCGGCCCGCGGCCGTCGCGCCGTGTCACGCCAGGCAGCCCAAGCTGCTCGCGCGCAGACGCTGCTGCTGCTCCAGTGGGCGGCCGAAGAAGCAGCAGCAGGAGCCGGCAGTGGCAGCCGCAGCATGGCCGGCGGCGGCAGGGCCGCACCTTCTCCTCCTCATCCTCCTCGGGCTCGGCGCGAGGCACCTCCTCCACGGGCTCAGCCGCGGGCTCGGCACCCTCCTCGGTGGTGGCCTCCTTGGCGGCGCCCTCGGTCTCGCCGCTGCAGCAGGCGCAACGGGGCAGCCAGCAGCGCATCAGCAAGCAGCCAGGTGCAGGGCACCAGCATGGCAACGCAAGCAGCAAGGAGAGCAGCAGCTGTCCGCGCTGCTGCGCTCCTGCTGCCGCCTGCTGGCCGCTCCCACCCCATGCCACCAGCTGCAACTGTGGGTTGGCACATCCAGCCTCTCCACGGGAGGCAAGTTCTGCTGCAGCTCTGCTGCCTTTGCTGCTCCCGGCTGCTCCCACACATGAGCTCCTGCTGACAGGGCCCCGCATCCCCCCGTCCGCAAACTGCTCATCCACCGGCCTGCCGCTTGTGCTGCTGCTGCTGCTGCTGCACCACCCTGTGCTGCGCCTGCCGCCCCCCCAGCTAAGCTGGTCCAAGCCAGGCTTGCCAGCAGCTGGCAGCAACTCACTCCTTGCCCTCCTCGCCCCAGTTGTGGGCGCCGCCGCCATGGCGCTTCTCGGTCTCATGGCTGCAGCACAGCCCAGCGCGCAAGCACCTGCCAATCAGCTGCGGTTGCATACGGCCAGCATGCACGCAGCGGCACCACCTGCAAGCACGCCTGCATCCAGCCCAAATCCTGCGCCGCCACAGGGTGCCAGCAGCTGGCGGCGCCGCCATGCCGCAGCTTGCAGCCGCCCACGGCTGCACTGCCCAGGCTCCCTCTGCGCGGCTCTGCGCCTGCCGACTCACCCGCGGCCAGTGCCGTCCTGGCGGTCGTACTCGCGCTTGCCGGCGCGGGGCCCACGGCCGCCGCGGCCACCGCCACGGCCGCCGGGAGGGCCGCGCTCGCCGCGCCCGCGCACTGCATGCATGCATGGAGCGGAGCTGTCGATGGCAGCCCATGGCAGCCCTGGTGCCAGAGGCAGCAGCTGGTGGCGCCGCATGCGGCCATGCATGCACGCGTGGTGCTCTGCAGCGGCTGAAGTGGTGCTATCCAGCACCCCGGTACCCACCGGTTGGTGCGGTGTCGGCGTCGAAAGCGGGGGCGTCCTCGCCGCGGGATGCGGGGCGGGGGCCCCGGCCCGCACCCCGGCCACCCCGGCCGGCGCCCCGGCCAGCCACAGCCTCGCCGCGGCCGCCGCGCGCGCCAGCAGAGGCGGGGCGAGATGCTGCAGGGGAGAGGCGGGGTGAGGCGGTGGGGCACCATCGGTGGCACACACGGCTGCCTGCGGCGGGATCTCCGCGCTCGCACGATGCAGGGCAGCCCTGGCAGAGGCGGCAGGCAGGCCGGCTGCCTGATGGGGTGGCAGCGTGATGGGGTGGCATCTGCTCTGCAGGCCCCATCGGCTGCTGTCTGCTGTCCATGCTGCCCGCTGTGGGTCTTGGAGGCCGAAAACTCACCCTTAGGCTCGTCAGCCGCAGGTTTGGGGGCCTCCACCTTCTTCACAGGCGCGGCGGCCGCCTCGGCCGAGATATCGACATCCACCGCATCGTCCGTCAACAGCGAGAAGGCGTTAGCGACCGACGCCATCTCTGCGCTCGTCTGGAGCGCGAATTGGCCGTAGCCCGAGTTCTGTTTTACTGCATATGCTGCTCCCCGAGCAGCTGGCCACCTCTGTCCGAACCCGTCGGTTTAGAGGGCGATGCAGGTGTCGGGGCCGACTATAATGCGCATGCTGGGGGCGGGACAAATCCTGGGTAGAAGGAGGGAGGGGCAGCGACTGGGGATGCCGCGCCCACAGCGGCCGCTCGACATTCGCCAGACCCTAGCACCGTGAACAGGTACCAGTGCACGACCCCCGCAGACAGGCGCGGAACCCTGGCCCCGCCACACCTACAGCAGACTGCCCAGCGTCGTGCTATGGACGGCGGGGCGTCCCCATGACGCGCTGGTGGGTGCTGGTGCTGCGTTGGGCCTGCCAAACAGCGCGGCCTGGCCCTGTCCCGCTCACCATGCGCGCCTGCGCGCAGGTTTGGAGCGGCTCGGGCTATCAAGGCGTTCTACCAGGCGCTGGGAGCTCCCAGCATCGCAGCGGCAGCAGCAGAAGGCCCCCTCGCAGGGATGGCACAGGCGGCGGCAGGAGCCGCCCGGGCGCTCTGCACTAGCTTTGCCGCCACCGCGGCGCCGCAGCCGGCGGCGCGCTGCCTGCAGCCACACCCGCTGGCAGGACGGCACCCCGCCGGCTACGCCTGGCTCGCGCGGCAGCGGCTGAGCACCACGTGCAGCGCCTCGAGCGGCGGCGGCGGCGCGGGCGCCGGCGCGGGCTCGCCTCCGCCGCGCGGCCGCGGCCGGCCCTCCAGCAGCCCGGGCAGCAGCCGCGGCGCCAGCAGCGCAGTTGGAAGCTCGGACGACCTGCAGCGCCTCAAGGGCGTGGGCCCGGCCAACGAGAAGAAGCTGCAGGACGGCGGTATCCTGAACGTCCAGGACCTGCAGCAGGTGTACCGCGAAAAGTGCGACAAGGACGTGCAGCAGCTGGCAGAGTACCTGCAGGTGGGTACTGTGGCGCCGAGATGCGTCGCAGAGGGAGGACGTGGCACGTCGCCTTGCCTCTGGCTGCCCGCGCGGCTGGCAAGGCAGCGCCGCGCGCCGCCTGGTTGGCTCCCGTCCCGCCGCACCTGCCGCACGTCTCACCCCGCCCGCTGCGCCCGCTGCGCCCGCAGGGCGTGGGAATCCGCCGCCTGCACGGCAAGCTGATTGCGCAGGAGGTGAGCGAACTGGTGGCGGAGGCGGAGGCGGCGGCGGCCGAGGCGGGCAAGACGGTCGTCACGCTGTCGGTGGAGGGCAACATCTCGGCGGGGAAGAGCACCTTCCTGGATGTGCTGTCACACGAGGAGACGCACCTGCGGGACATCCTGAAGGTACGGGCGGTACAGGCGGCACATGCGGGCCCAGCCTGGGGCTGCTGCTGCTGCGGCGGCGGCGGCAGCGGCAGCAGCAGCGGCTGGGGCGCAAAGGTGCAGGGGCGCTGACACCCCCGCGCCGCCGCATGCACCCCCTGGCGCTCACACCCACCCCCCTTGCCCACCTGGCCCCTGGCCCGCCCGCAGGTGGTGCAGGAGCCTGTGGAGAACTGGCAGGCGTATGAGTGCCTGGACCGGCACGGGCGCGGCGTCACCGCCAACGTGCTGGAGAAGTTCTATTCGGACCCGCACCGCTACGCCTACTCCTTCCAGCACTACGTGCTCATGTCGCGCATGAAGAAGGTGGGGGCCCGCTTGATCTGTGCGCTGTGTGCTGTGTGCGTGCATTTGTGAGTGTGCGTGCTGGGCTGGGCTGCGGCCGGCTGGGCTGCGGCCGGCTGGGCACCAGTGTGCCCGCTCCCGATGTGCGCCACCGCTTGCTCCTTGCTTCTTTCCCTCCCTCCCGTCCTCCCATGCGTTCCTCCCCAACCGTCCCCTGCTCCCTTCCTCGTCCTTTCCTCCCGCCAGGACCGCGACACGCGGCAGGCGGGCAAGGACCTGCGTGTGCTGGAGCGCTCCATCTTCTCAGACCGCCAGGTGTTTGTGCGGGCGATGCACCGCGCGGGGACGATGGAGGACTTTGAGGTGTCGGTGTACAACACCATGTGAGCGGTACCGTGCGGCACCGCACAGTACCACGGCGGCAGCGCGCTCGCACAGCACCCTTGCGCAGCACGGCGGAGGCCGAGAGCAGCCGCCAGCCGGCAGCCTAGCCCAGCCGGCATGAGCACGGCCGGCTGCCTGTTTTGTGGCCGCCCAGGCACAGCCCTCTGCCCGCCCGCCTGCCCGCTCCTCCACCCCTCCAGCCTCCATCCCTTGCCCTGCAGCTTCGACCAGGAGGTGACGCACGACATCGAGCTGGTGCCAGACGGCTTTGTGTACCTGCGAGCCAACCCGGGCACCTGCATGCAGCGCATGCGACGGCGGTGAGCCCCCGCGCCCCCACCTGCCAGCCAGCCAGCCCGGCACGGCTGCCGCTGCCCTGGGGCTCCCCTGCCTCCCGCCCGCGCTGCTGCACGCTGCAGCCTGCGCCGGCTGCCTCCAGCCCAGCCACGGCTTCCTCCTTTGCACCCAGGACCCACCGCCCCGCTACTAGCACTGCCACATCCCGACCCGCGCCTGCCCTGCCTTGCCTCCGCCGCCGCCGCAGGAACCGCGGCGAGGAGGGCGGCGTGAGCCAGGCATACCTGGAGGAGCTGCACGCCAACCACGAGGACTGGCTGCTGCACGGCGACAGCGCGTCGGCCATCTCGCGGGCGGCCGGCGCCTCAGTGCTGACGCCGCGCCCCGAGGCCGACGCCGCCGCCGACAGCTTCCTGCGCTCCTACACCCCCGGCCGCGAGATGGACAAGTGGAAGCTGGAGGTCATCAGGGATGTGCCGGCTGCCATCAAGGACCAGGTGCGCTGTTGGGGGCGGTGGGAGGGAGTGCATGGAGGGGGTGGCTGGGCAGGCGGTGGTGGGGAGGCTGGATGGCGCCCAGGCGTCGGGGGCCCGCCGCGGCAAGCGCAGCCGGCGCCCCCCTGCGTCAGCTAGAGTGGGAAGGGCCCAGGAGGGCCAGGCCTTGGCTGGCGACCCTCCCTGCCGCCCGCCCTCACCCATCGCCTTCACCCGTCATCACGCACAGCGCAACCCCTTTTCTTTCTTCCCGCAGGTGCTGCTGCTCAAGGGCGCAGAGGGCCTGCCACAGCTGCAGCACCGGCTGGCGCTGGTGATGGACCATGATGAGGACATTGACATACATAATGACACAGAGGCGCGCAAGGCATACGCCAGCAAGGTGCGCCTGCGCTTGTGCCCACCCCGCTGCTCCTGCCATGCGCCTTGTTCAGGCCGCCGTGTGCTGCGCCGAAGTGCGTCCCTGCTTCACGGACGGGCTGGGCTGGGCTGCGGCTGCGGCTGCCAGGCTCCGTCTTGCTGGGTGATGGGTTGGGCGCTGCAAGTGCTGCGGCCTGGGGACTGACGATGCCTGGCTGCCTGCCGTGCCTCCACCTGCTGCTGTGCCTGCAGATCCAGACCTTCTACCAGTTTGTGAGGCAGTGGAAGGAGCGGGAGCAGGCTGAGCTGGCTGAGCTGGCGGCTTTGCAGGCGGAGATCAAGGCCGGCGTGCGGCAGGGCTCCATCGAGTTTGATCGCCTGGGGAATGTGGTGCTGCCGATGCATGGGCAGGGCCTGGGAGCCCACGCGCACCTCTCGCTGTAGGGCCGGCAGGAGCGCGGCCGCCTGCAGCGCCCACTTGTGCGCCGGCCAGCGCCGGCTCCTGCTGCCTGGCACCGCGATTCTGTTGACCCGCTGTAGACCTGCTGCTTGCCCGGCCCTTGGGTCTGGGCCCGCTGCAGCGGACTGACAGGAGGATGAGGCGGAGGCACGGCCTCCCTCTCCTCCCTGCACCAACCGACCCCCAACCCCTTTGTTTTTCAGTTCACTGCCACCGGGTTGTGATTGTATTGCGGGCGAGCCGCCGATCCGCACCCACCTGCCCTCTGTAGACCCTCCGCCACCCTCCCTCGCTGCTGTACCATTCGTGGAACCCCTCTTCGACTTTTTCTGCCTCCGCCACCTCTCTCCTCCTCCCTCTTTCCCTACCCCTTCCATCAGCAACATATCAAGTCTTGTCGGGACAGCTGCAGAGCTGCCACCAATCCTCTCAGAATGGGTTACCGGACTCTCCAGGTGTGTAACTTATCAAACAGCTGTGAGCTCGACAGCTGATGAACAGGGTAGAGGGGCTGCTGCTGGGTAGGGCAAGAACGCAGGAACGACGCGCGACGCGTTGCCGGGCAGGAATCAAATGCGTGAAAGGCAGAGACGCGCAGGGAGCAAAAACTGTACAGGAGGTGACACACGCTGCTTCGTGCCGTTAATGTACAACACCCTCTCCCCAAGCAGGCGGGCAGCTGCCATCCATGCCAGCTGCTCAGTCGTAACAGGGGTCGAAAGCGTAGGGCGGCGTGGCGAGGTCTGCTGCGTCCACCAAGATGCCCAGGGTGGGATCCATGATCCAGATGGGCGAGCGGTGCTGCAGATGTGCACGACAAGAAGAGGCAAAACGTGCTGATGTGCACGACAAGAGGTGGGATGACAGGCAGGCAGAGGATTGCAGCAGCACAAGTGGGCAGGCGGCAGCAGAGCGAGCGGGGCAGCCTGTAGGGCCGTAGGCCCCAGCAGACACGGGCCCCACGCCGCCGGGCTGACTCACTCAGTCCCGCTCAGTGTCCACCTTTTGGCTGCCGGGGTGGAGCCACCTGGGGCGCTGGCCGGCGGCGGCGGTACCGTACAGGCCATGGTCGTAGATGTAGCGCACCACGGAGGCAGGTGTGAGGTACCGCACAGAGTGGCCCTGCTCCAGCTCGTGCCTCACCTGCACCGCGGACGGCATTCTGCTGCTCGGCACCAGCTCGGTGCGGGGTTGCATTGGAGTGGCAGGCAGAAGAGGTGACGCCACAGGTGCGCAATGCTGGGAGCGGCGCGGCATTACATAGCAGCACCAGCCCTGCTGCAACTCTATCCCACCAGCAAGCCATCTCATCTAAAACGCTGCTGTGCACCCACCCCACCCCGACCCCATCCCCCACCCTACCCGCCTGCCCACCCACCCGAGAGGAGGAGATCTCGTTTGGCACCGGCTCCTCCACCACAGTCACGTTGCGGCGGTAGGAGTGCAGCAGCGTGCCAGGGCGGTCCAGCAGGCGTGCCACGTCTGAGCCGTTGCGCGACACGCACACCACGCCGTGGTTGGACAGCAGCGTCTGCAGCAGAGGGGCAGGAGGGGCAGCGGGCCGCCGCATCGGCAGGAGCGCAGCAGGAGCAAGCCACACGTGAGCAACAGTGCCAGCGCTGTGCCTGTCGTGCGGCGCGGCACGCCTCGGCTGATCCTAGGCTGCCCGTGGCGTGCGGTGCCTGCCTGCTGCGTGGCACTCTCAGCCGCCACGCCCGCCATGCCTGCCTGCACCCCCAGCCCGCCTACCTCCAGAAGGTCCTGGCGCCACATGGTGGGGTCTGCCATGCTGTGCAGCACGTCGGCACCGCATACCAGCAGCACGCGAGGCGTCACGGGCGGGCAGGCCCCCGCCGCGGGCTGCAGGCGTGCCAGGCGAGGCAAGGGCGCCAGGGTTGGATGATTGGGCAAGGCACACGGCGCCAGGATTCGGACGCCGAGCCGTTCCCGCTCCAGGCACGCAACAGCAGCGGCGGCTGCCCCCCGTCACACCCTCCCACTTGCCCCGCAACACCGTCCCCGTCGCACCAGAGTACTACTGCGCACCTCTGCCGGCGCGGGCGTGTGTCCTGCATTGAAAAGCGCCGCCAGTTCCTTCTCTACACGCTGCAGTACAAACAGGGTGCGCGTGTACTGCCGCTGCTCCACCTCCCAGCTGTCAACCATGATGCTATCTGCAGGCGGAGGGGGAGGGCGTGGGTGTGGGAGGGAGGGTCGGGATTGGGGATTCAGACTGCTTGGCCTGCAGTGGCGTTTCCAGAAGGGGGCAGCTGCAGGCACCGCCCGGCAGGCGCCTGCCTCCAGCTGTGCCCTGTGGCCTGCTGCACAGAGCGGATGCATTCACATTGCGATGCACGCATGCAGCAATTCAGAAGCCAGGCGCAGCTGTGGCGGCACATGCCAGGGTTCACAGGCGCATGGCGGGTGGAAGGCTGGCGGCAAGGGCAGCTGCGGGTGAGCCTGCCCCGCTACCCTCCATAAACTGTCCCAGTGAGCCCAGGCACCGCGCTGAGCAAGCTGCCTACACGCCTGTGCAGCCTGCTCGCATTGCAGCAGGGAGCGTGGACTTGCTAGCGACCACCCGCTCTGGCATTTGCACCCCACCCAACCCACCCAACCAGCCTCATCCACCCTCGCACCACCCACCCGAATCAGCTGTCGCCAGCTGGCACATGCGCACGCGGTGCCTGCCCGCTGCCAGCGCCTGCTTCCAGTACGCGTCGTTCACTGGGGACATGTAGCTGCCCAGCACGTCGTAGCCAGACTGCAAGGGCAGGGCGGGGCAATCGGCAGCCCGGCGAGGCCGTGGAGTAAGCCGTGCACCAGGCAGGAGTTGGGAAGCAGTGCGTTGAGAGTGCCGCGAGGAGGAGGCGCGCGAGAGGCAGCACGATTGTCAAGATTCTGGGGACCTGGCGAGATAGGGTTGCAATATCTCGCTGCCCACCCATCTCGCCACCCACCCACACCACCACACCCAACCGCCACCCCCCACCTTCATCAGCTGCTGCTGCGCCAGCTCCATCATGCGCAGGTGCATGAAGGTCGGGGGGTTGAAGCTGCCGCAGGACACCAGCACCACAGGATGGTACCGTTCCAGGCTGTACCCTGCAGAGCAAGCGGATAGTGCAAGGGAGCCGAGGAGCGTTGCAGTGGACTGATGCAAGGGCCAGACCTCATCTCCCAACCTGTGCCATCAGTGTGGCTACCCCATGTCAGCACTGCCCCATGCCAGCCCCGCAGCAGGCAACGCACCCCCGGGCGGCAGGTGGCACTTGAGCTTGTCTGCCGGCAGCGGCACGTCGGTGGGCTTCCCCTTCCGCCAGCTGCCCAGGAACCCCTTGATGCCCTCCCACCTGCGGGGCGAGTGAGGCGGCGGCCGGGCCGGCTGGCTGGGTGTGGGTGGTTGTGGAAAAGAAGGGCCGCGCGTGCGCAGCACACAAGCGGTTGCATACAGTGGGGGAGCATAAATGCAACGCCTCTCGCCTGTCCCAGAGGTCGGGCTCCTTGGGCTCGGCCGCGGCTGCTGCGGGTTGGTAGGAGAGCCGGGGCGTTCCGCGCTCGGGCTCCTGCCGCTCGAGGCACAACGCTATGCCGCCGCCAGCCGAGGTCGCCACCAGCAACGCGCCAAGGTAGCTGCCCGTGCGCCCCGCCGGCGTGGCGTTCGGTGTGGAGGCAACGCCTCTGCGGCATCGGTGAGGCGCGGGCAGGGAGTGAAGCGACGGCGGTGCGCGTCGGTGGACGCCCGCCGGCCTGGCGCCCTGCCGTGGCGGTGTCGGGCCCGCACGCTCTTCTCCCAGCGCACCTTGCTAGGTTGATCGTCGCCCTGCCGCCCGCGCCCAGCGTCCTGGTCAGGTGCCGCAGCATCATCACCTCTGCATGAGAGGGTTGGAGGCTGGTGTGCGCAGCAGAGAGTCTGCAGGGATCCAGCAGTTGGTAGGAGGCGATCCAAGGCCAGTCAAAATCGCTGGCCCCGCCGTCTAGAAGGGAATTCCTGCCAGCTGGACCCCTCCCCTAATAGAGCGGCGGGTGCTCCATTCGCCGCGCAGATCCACCCAGCCATGCTGCTTCGTCAGGCGAGCCAGGCGCTGAGGCGCCTGGGCGGGGCCGAGGGCCACTCCCTGGTGAGTGAGAGATGGCAGCGCACATGCCCACCGCTGGCAGCCACTGACTGCTGCTCACGGTGCCGCAGATGTCCAAGTATAGCAAGGGACTGGCGCCCGAGGACTTCCGCCTGTTCAGGTGAGCCGATGGGCGGCGACTCCAGCCCGCTGTTTGCTGCCAAGACCCTAACATTGCGGCCCGCCACCCGATTGAGGGAGCTGCTCTCATGCCGGATCGATTGGGGAATGGGTTGGTCCTCGCCTGTGTATGGCGCATGTGGCAGCGGCGGCAGGCGGCACTACGCAGCCTGGTGCTGGGCTGGCGTTACGCAGCCGCAGCTCAGGCAGCACTGGCTGTCAGAGCCCTGCTGGCTGCGAGGGTTGCGAGGGCAAGGCGTGGGGCTGCCGCTGGGGTGTTGGAGTGCTGCCGCGTCCCCCGCCGCCGCCACGCCGGTGCTCTCAGTGCTTTGCTCCCTTTGTCCGTGCAGCTCTTCGGCTTCGCGGTTTGCCAATGAGGTCATCGGCATCGATCTCGGTAAGCATCTGCTTGCATCTGGGGCACGCCAGGCCATCTGGGGGCCTTGGTCCGCGCGCCAGGCAGCGCTGGGTGCGGGGCGGTTGGCTGCTTCTCAGGCACACCTCTGCGGCTCACAGTGCTGTTTTGTCGCGCCCCTCTCGCTTGTTTGCAGGCACCACCAACAGCTGCATAGCGCTCATGGTAATTCTGCTCGCCTGAATGACCTGCTTGTTGAGCTGTTCCCAGCGCACGCTGCCATGCACACACCCATGTTCCTCATCTGCTTTGCCCCCGCTGTCCACCTCCGCCGCTCCGCAGGAGGGAAAGACGGCCAAAGTGATCGAAAACGCAGAGGGCCAGCGCACCACGCCCTCAGTCGTGGCGTTCACAGACAAGGGGGAGCGGCTGGTGGGCCTGCCCGCCAAGCGCCAGGTGAGGCCGGGGCTCGGGGGCGGTTGGCTGCGCTGGCCGGCCCGGCCGGAAGGCGCGCGATTGCTCCCCGCTGGGGCTGTCGCCTGCGCCGAGATGCCGGCATGCGGCGCGGGTGGCCCTGGAGCTGCGCAGCTGTGCCTTCAGCCCACCCTGGCCTCCGTCTGCGGGTTGCCTCGCCTCCCTCACCTCCTCACCTCCTCCCTGCCCTGTCCTGCTAGGCCGTCACCAACTCTTCCAACACTGTCTACGCCACCAAGCGCCTGATCGGGCGCATGTACGACGACCCAGAGGTGCAGAAGGAGGCCAAGGTGAGGCGCGTGTAGGGGGCTCTAGGGGATCCCAGGGCTTGAAGGTGCTGTGCTGTGCAGCGTGCAGGCGTGGTGGTACGGTTCGCCGTACCACGCCTCGCCCCGCCCGCCCGCACCCAGCACTCTGCACACGCCGGCATGTGCTGCCTGCCTCGTCGTGGCCGGCTGCACCTATACGCGGCCCTCCACCCAGAGTGCTAGCCCGCCGCTGTGCCTGCCTGCTGCCCCCTACCCGGGGG